CCACCCCCCAAATGACGGTATTTGACTTTCTATTCGCCCTCTTTGTAGACGACGCTTATCCCACATTTCATCACCAATTTAGCGGAGAGATTGGTCTCGCATGCAAAAACTTGCCTCACTGATGACATTGAATCTGTTGACTTTGTCGCCTGTTCTGCGCAATTTCTCACTGTGGGTTAAAAGCAGTATATTACATTTTAAGCTATTTATTTTGTTATTTTCCTTGTTTTTTTTTCGCCACTAGGCAAGCCTTATGGAAGCATTGGAGTACAGACGAAAGCTACTACCTGCACTTAAGGCTGTTTTATCAGAGGAGGGTGGGGCTGAGACCTCTTCTTCGAAATATGACCTCTTCTGTTGGATTACCGAGAACGATGTTGTGTTTAGTCAACTTCAAGAGGCTGTAGGTTGCTTGTTATTATGTTATTGCGTTGCATTATTATTAACATATGCTGGGATGGGGAATAATTTTGCGGATTTATTGTGTTAGGAGGTCGTAATTGTTTTGCTCTTAAACCCTACGTTAGGTATAGTAAGCAGACATGTTCCATGCCTTCAATCGTCAGCTGCTCATCACTTGTAATTTAAGATTTCACAGTCGTTCAGTCTAAGTGCTTATAATTTCTGATCGCAGCTAATTTTCGTTTGGTTTCCATATCCTTGCTTCCGGTTAGCTGGGAGAATACGATGTTTGGGTGCTTTTAATGATTTTTCCGATATAATTTCAGATAGTATGGCTTTCTTCAGGTCCTTTGAAGCTATTTTAAGTCATCCACTCATTGATTATTATGGATTGGATCGGTTAGCCATGGCAAATCTTGTTCAAACTTCTCTATTACCAGCCTTTGTGTGGCTCATACGTAGTTACAAGCAAACAGGTTTGCATAGTCCAAGTCTTGCAATTAGAATGCATTCCTCTATTCCCCTTAATGCTTGAAATCTCCCTCCCCCTTAGATCCCATACTAAAATATTTTAATTTCTCTAGTTTGACTCCCTAGTTGAGCTAGTAGTAGGTTTGAACAATGATTCTGATCGTATGCTAACCGAAGGAGGATCACTGCGTCAAGAGTGTGCTTGCAGAAGTGTTGAATTGGCCACAACTCTCCTCCAAGCCGTTTATCAGCGCGTCCAGTGGTGTGGTCAATCCTGTCCACCCGAACTTAACTCTTGTTTCACGGAGTTAAGGACTCACCTAATCTCTGCTGTGGGTGAGTAAAGCGTAAAACTATGCATAAGTGGTATTATACATACTCTTCTTGCTCTAAATTGTCATTGAATTATTCAGCCTGGAGTATTGACCGACCGGAGGCTGGTTTGGACTTGGCCATTCGTTTTTCTGACAAAGATTTAATGCTTGAAATATCTGAACATCTGGACAAGCAGGCTGCTGCGTCTGGTGGTAAACCACATTCGAATTTCATGACTGCCCTCACTCGTTCTAATCCTGATATCCAACTTGCTGACTATGCTTTACAGGTTTGATAAGTTTGGATGACTTACCTACGGAGATAATTATAAGCAGTTTATGTATGCATCCATTTTCTTTTAGTGGTTTTATAAACATAGTGAAAGAGCTCGTTTGCAGTCACTTCTTCTAGCTCTACATGAACGAGAGTCGGGTTCGCTCGAACCTTCAGTCGAGCAGAAACGTCCGTTATCTTCAGTTTCTCCTTCACGTAAATCAACGGCAAAACGTTCAAGGAAGAGTCGATCCCCTTCGGTTACTGCTGCTACTGACTCGTGTGTAAGTCGTTTCCTTCAACGAACTGAGGCTCGTGATTTCGCTTGGCTTCATCAATTGGGCAATCGAGATTACAATCAAGTAACTTTCCTTAACTACTTATTTTCAATCAGTAGTTCGATATTTAATTCATCATACTTAATCGTAGGCCTCTAAAGGGCTCCTATCTGCTGGCGAAAATGAGATCAATTCTTTGGGTCGTCGGCGGACTCTCCTGAGTCTCTCTAAGCTCTCCGGTATCGCATCTGGCCATTACCAACCCTTCATTATGACAACGCATGAGCCTCAAGATGCTGGAATACCGCTTGTTGACAAGTACTTGGAAGTTATTAACTTTCACGTGAGCTTATTCCCTCATTTTGCAATTGTTAAGCCGTCGACTTTTGACTCCTTGTTATAGTACCGCTACGAAATGTCCGCCCATCAGATACCATTAGACTACAGTTCACTCAGACTAGGGCAAAAAAGCCGAAACAATGCAATTAATCTAAGTCCCTTTCTTTATCAAACAAGGACGTTATATTACACAAGTTCTTCAAATTGTTGATTTTGGGAGATCAAAATATCGCCAAATCACTGTTAATGGTTTTAGTCTCCAAGTGACTTGTCAGGCTGTCAAATCGTTGTGCGTCCTCATTCTAATAAGGCAATGAGCGCCATTTAATAATTGACGAGGTGAAATGTGAGCTTAGCAGCAATCATATTTATTTTTCTTTGGCACCTATCAATGACATGTACTCTACGCATAAATCTCAAAGTATCAATTCCTTTCTTAGGAGGAGCTTATTCGTCGAGGTCAACTGAATTCTGACGAGGTCTTACCTTCTCATGCTCTCGCATCTCAGTATATTGCTGATATCACAAAGGTGGATTCTGCGGAAATCGACGAAGATTTGCTGATGAAGTTCTCTGCTGCTCTACGTTTGGCTCAATTGTATACGGAATTGGATGAGGACCATCTAAGTTTTGAAGCTAGACGAGAGAAACAGGAGAAGCTTCTTTCTCGAATTTGGACTCAGGCTATTAATGTTGATTAGTAAGTGTACTTCAAAAATTGTTAAGTTCCCTGATTTGTTGCGATCAAAAAGAGATGTATTACGAGGCTTGAAAAAATTCATTTTCTATAAAGAATGGTTCTTTTAAAGCACCGATTGTCACCTTGCTTTTCCGATCTTATTATGCAAATAGTTTGGCAAATTATCGATATTTTACGAAAGACGTTTCATTCTATTTTTATACCCACCCGTTTAACTTATAATTTTGCAAAATTTGGTGGCTGCATCTTTTTCACTTCTTGAAAGCGTCGGAATACTAGTATCATGAGTATCTCTTCCTCTTGCATTTTCCAGCTTGAATAAAAAGCCAGACGAAACCGATGACTTTAATGAGGCTTGTGTAAGCAGTTTCTTCTATGCCCTGCTAACCACTTGTCTTCAATCGGGTAAGATTTGACTCTTATCGTTGCTAAAGATGATATAAATAGATGATGATGATGACAAATTCGTTTTCCTTCAGATGATTTGAGTGAGAAACTTATTCCATCACTTCCCGACGTCCTATCATCAATATCATCTGATAAGGAACCATGGCTACGAATACTTGCTGAAAACGCCTACAATCTGGCAACTAAGCACAATGACTTCAGGGTGACCCAATCAACTCAAGAATCAACTCCAATGGAAATATAAATATACTTCTTGTACTCTCCTATTCATCCCCATCATCTTCCTCCGTTTGTTAAAAAGGTCTGTTTTATAAGAAAATAAATCAAATTTCTATTTCACTAGCAGCCGCCTTCTCTTCATCCTTTTGCCAAGCATCCAGCATATTTCGCACGGACTGAATCTCTTTCTGCGCAAGTTCCTTGGATGGTTTGCAAGTCATTTTATTTGCAGCTTCTACAGCCTTGTCTAACCATCCAAAAGCGGCTGTAAATTCACCCCTGTTTCCCTCTATCAAAGCTCCAGCACAAAATAATCGAAGTAACGGGAGATTGGGTGTGCTTTGATTTTCAGCATTACTAATAACCGATTTGAGACGTCCTAAAGCCTTATCATAATTCCCAAGTCTGCTGTCTGTATTAGCCAAGTCAGCTTGAAGATGTAGGATGTTATCATGATTTGGGGGATAGATCAACTGCGCAGATTTGAGAGAGGTCTCTAACTTCTCTTGAGCTGCAGAGAAATCTCCATTCTTAATGAGAAAACTACATTGATTAGAAAGAAAGAGATAAACGCGTGACCAACTTACTGCGCATAAGCGTTTGAAACTAATCCAAGAAGGGCAATTTCATTTTGCTCTGCATCTGAGAGTTTTATTCCCGGTGACTGAAAAATTTGGCCAGTTTTTTTCATTTGGGCGTCAAAACAATACTCCAACCCTGATGATGCTTTAGACGTTTCCCCCAATCGTGAATAAAGTAATGCCAATTTCAAGGAAAGCTCAACAATACGCGAATCTTGAGGGTCCACCCCTGCAGCAATTGAGAAGCGTATGGTTTCAGTTAGGAGCTTTTCGGCGTCACTATAGTTCTGCTGGCACATGCGCAGTTTGGCCAATTCAAGAAAAACTCGAGCTTGGCTCCTTGCATGTTCCTCTGGGGTGATTTCATTGTCTCTAGAAGCAATAGCTAAAATTTGTAGAATCTGGTGAAGATTATCATCAGCTTCTTTATAGTTCTCCTCTCTAATTTGAATAATGGCAGTCTTGAGAAGTGTGGAAGTTTTCTCTTCAAAAGTGGATTCTGTAGATTTAGAGAATGGCCAAGAAAGACAGATTAACCCAGTAGAAATTGTAACTTGAATAAGAGTCTGTTCTTTCCGGTGATGAAAAGGTAGCAACTTATTAGGAGAATTTGCCAATCGACGCAGCACATTATGCAATAGACGGAAATATCGGAAGTACATCTTATTCTTAAACCCTTAATTTAAAAAGGCGCGGAATAAAACGAAATAAATAAAATCAGTACGTGCGCTAAAAAACTAAACGTCCGAAAAGGCTAGAAAATACAGGCATTCACCTTGGAAAACCTTGAGAATAGATTTGTCTTTATTGTTGCATATAGTTGACATGAAAAAATGGAAATAAAATATTTTCGGGAAATAATCGGTCAAGAATTATTACCTAATTTCGTTTTTTTGTGATTTATTAACAATGTTTAAAAAATTCAACGCATTTTACCCAGAATTTTTCAAATATATGAACTAAAATGCGTAATATTTTAATAATTAAAAGGCTTTAAAATGAAAAGGATATATATAATTACTATAAATTTATTAACATTTATCAATTAATTTCTAGTAGCATTTGCTTTTAACAATATACATTCATTTGCTAAGTTTCTACTTAACATCTTTATCAACTTAATGTTTCACCAACCCTAAGTAATAATGTCACGACTTTTTGAACTGATTTCAGCTTCCTCTCACTATTAAACATCCTATTTTATGTAAGTGGGTAATTACAGGGCATAAAATTTAAATATCGTCGCTTGCAATCTAATCGGTTTATCAATTCAATCGGAGAGATCCATTCAGAATTATGTATTTACGAAGATAAAATTTAGTTACATTTGAAAATTTTAACTCGAATTAAATAACTTTTTTTATGTTGTTTCGGAATTCAATCGCGTACTCTGTTTGCGGCTAAAACTATCTTACTGTAACAGGGGGTGCGCGATAGACTTACCTCACGTGGTGCACCCCGGGCAACGTATACTCATACGGCAAAAAAGTCTATTAACTGGCAGTCGGCTTCTGTCTTCAAACTACAATGGCCCAACTGTATGCCATATTTTATCACTTTCACAGTACTCATCTTACCTTTTCTCTGCCTTTGTGCCTGTCTCTTCTACATCTTTGAATCACTCTTCTGTTCCTCCCCCCCCCCCCACTCGACTTCTTTCACTTTGATGGTCCTCCCCTCTATGAAGCCTGAAGTCAACTAAAGGACTAATGATAACTATCAAAACGCCTGCCATTTGATATAAATAAATAAATATATGTTAATTGAACGGAAGTTTATTAATGAATAAATAAATAAAGAAGACGTATTTAATGTTTGAAAATACTATTAAAAATGTACTCACCGATGACCAAAAAATTATTTGAGATTTGTAATCATTCAACCGTGTTTCTAATGGAGCGAGGGAGACAAACTAAGAGTTCTAGTTTCCGCAGTGAACGCAGTGATTTTAGTGAGTTGTATCTAATCTGGGTAGGCGATTTTGAGAAGGATGAACGTTTTGCAAGGTTTCATGCTCAATTTGACAGAAACGACTTTGAACCGAAGACCATGTCAATTCACACCCATCGAAACCATATTTCCATGGGAAGTAAATATGGCAACCCATTCGGCCATTACCAATTGAACAGTACTTTATGTTCATGCTTGATCGACCCACAGCACGCAACTATCCGAAGAGAGCCAAATGGATCATTTCGATTGCTTGATCATAGCCAAAGTGGCACATTTGTTAATTATAGAAGGATTTCCAATTTCGCTGATCTTAGCCACGGCGACATTATTTGTTTTGGCCACCCTGACTCTACTGGTATAAAACGGGGTAAGGTAGTAGAACCCTACTATTGGGACCTCAAGTATAAAGTAAGTTTGAACTGAATTTTGTTTTGTTCAATGTGAAAGCTTTTATACATTTTGAAATTTTTACTTATCAGGCATTTATTGGAGCTCAAGAAGATGTTTTGCTAAAAATTGGCGAAGCATTAAATAAGGAAGAAATAGATCGAACTAGTGTATCATTATCTATTCAACTCGTAATAGCAATGTTGGAGTACGAGAAGCTGAATACCGATACGGATTAGAGCCCACGAAAATCTAGCTAAATATACTAATTCAAATGTACCGCTTTTTAATTTGGAATGGGTTTGTGGGACACGTTATCGCGTTGTTCGTCATCGTATGCCTGCATGTCTGCTCGCCAGGATTGAGAGGTGCGGCCGTACAACTCTGCGTGCAGCGACCGTACAAACAGTGACCAATCATCAACCTCTGTTTAACTAATCGCCCCATCCTTCGCCGTACAACTCTGTGTGCAGCGACCGTACAAACAGTGACCACTAGCCTCTGTTTGTTTGACCTAATCCGCCATCCTGATCATGATCAACCTCTGGCGACCTGGGAGGTGCGACCGTACAAACAGTGACCAATCATTAACCTCTGTTTATGACCGTACAAACAGTGACCAATCATCAACCTCTGTTTAACTAATCGCCCATCCTGATCATGAGTAGCTCCACGCTTGTGCACTTTATCCTTAATACCCGTACTGAATAGGCGTGTTCCTTGCTGCACGTCTGTTTCCTTTATAGCTGGGCTATAGTTTAGCAACACGTCTGTTTCCTTTATAGCTGGGCTATAGCTTAGCTGAATTATACGTCTGTTTTCTTTATAGCTGGGCTATAGCTTAGCTAGTTCGGGAGTCTAGCTAGATGTAGGAGAATCTGCCAGAGATTTCTCAGGAGTCTAGCTCGATGTAGGAGGATCTGCCATAGAGATTTCTGAGTCAGTCAGGCTTTAATAAAGTAGCAATCCGCTACAGGTTTGAATTTCCCTTAAGTCTAAAATTCAAGAATTGGTATTCTTTGGTTCATTAACTCGATTGAATACTATCGAAGGTAATACAAATTATGTCTATTTTACCATCTTTTGCGTTTCCATTAACAAATTGATCTTGGTTCAGGTAGGGCTTCGTGTTGTAACTTTTTATATTTCGCCGCCTGTTTGAATTGAGTTCAATTGGTATAAAGGATCGATACCAAATATAAGATGAAAGATTGTAGTATATGGTCATGCCTAGTCTATTTATTTGAGACGGTATGGTGAGGGGTGGGGAGGTATTAAAAATCCACTTGCATTACTACACATGTTACAACACATGTTAAAAAATAATTCCTTTTTCTTTAAATAAACATGGATGTTTACATTTTAATTCCCTATCTAATTTCCCATTTTTTGTTGACGGTAGCATAGTTTGGTTGAGAATGTTTGGCCAGGTTTTAGCTATTCTTAATGGATTATTCCACTTTCCAACCACCC